TTTTTTCCTGAAGTGTTTCTGGTTTTAGGTTTTTTTCTATTTTAATTTTGATTTTTGACCCTCTGAATTGCATTGGATAATTTTGATTTTTGCATTTTCATGCACTGGTGGTCTTTGGAAATGATTTCCCGTATGTCTTCCTTTTTTGTTTTCTTTATATTACGCTTTGTTTAATATTAAATATTGGTTACATTTAATTTATCTAGTAATATTTAGTATAAATCTCTGTGGCGTTTTGACTTTTTTTCTAAGTCTTTTTTTTATTATGTTTTTTTATAAGGTTTTTTTTTTATCGTTAGGTGCCCTTTTATTAATTTTTTTTATAATTTATCTACTAAAATGGATTGCTTTTAATTTATTATAGTTGATTATTGTTAAATTTTTTACTAGTTACTTTAAATTTAACTAAGTTTTTATCTTGAAACTCGAATGTTATTTCTTCTTCTTTTCTCTTAGTTGATATGTATTTTAGTTTTTTATTTTGTGATCGTTGCTTATTTTATAGAGCATTAGTTTTACTTTTTGTTTAATTATTTATTTTTTTATTTATATGAAATAATATATTTATTTATTATATTTTATATAATATTTAATCCCATTTCTTCACCTTATTATTTCTATAATTTTTTATTTAAAAAACTGCATTTATTTTTGTGTGTTGCTCATGTGGTTTCAGTTGGTCATAGTATGTATATTATTTTTGTTGGACTAGTTCCCCAATTTTTAACCTTTAATTTTATAGCTGTTGAAATAATTGGTGGGTTTTTGTATGTGATAATAGATATGAGAAATATTATTTTTTCGTTTTATGTGGTAAGATGATTAAATAATGTGTTATTTAGATTGATGTTGTATTATATGTTTTGTCTTTACCTCATTGTAATTTTTTTTACTTAAAGATTTTTTTACTGACTCTATTATATATACTAGATATTATTTTAGATTTAAATATAAATTTTATTAATAAATAAATATATTAAATAAATTATATAAAATTTCAATTACAAACCTTAATTTTTTATTGTCATCACTTTATATTTACAAGGTTTTTAAATAATGGACCTATATTTTTAGATTTTTCACTATTGTCATATTTTTTTTTTTTTGGCCTTTTATTTTTATTATAATTTATATATTATTATTTTATTTTATATTTTACGTTTGGTGCATCCGTTTTACTTATTTTTATTTATATTTTATTATGATCCCCCTTTTATCATAAGTATTTTTTTTTATATTATTACCTTTGTTTTTAGAGTGCTATAGATTTGTATGTGTGTTCATAAGCTAGTGAGTTCATCTATATTTTGTTTTATTTTGATAGGGTGGCTTATTGGTGTTTCCCTTTTTTTGTCGTTTAGTAATGAGTGTCATTTTGCCTTTCCTTATTATATTTTGATGAGACTTATTGGGAAGTTTGAATATTTCTTATTATCAATTGTTTATAATAGTTTGTTTTGGATTGCCTTTATGAATTTTTTTTTGACTTACTGATATTTATTTTTTTATTTTTTGATGTTCTGCTATTCTTACCTTCTGGGATTTATATTTGGGTGCCCGCGTGGTTGGGTGAATGTATATAGTTTTCATAAACTGACTCACGTTTTAGATGAATATAAAGAAATGTACTTTTTTATTTTTTTTATTTTAATAGATTTTATTTATTTATATTTTTTTTTTGAAATATTGTGTTACTTTTTTAATTTTTTTATTAATATTATTTTAAATTTATATTATTGATTTTATATTATTTAGTAATCTTAATCTTTCGTTTCTTCTCAATTGTATTACATTTTATAGTATTGTATTAAGTGATTTTAAAGTTTTAATTATAAATCTTTGTGGATTTGTACCCTCTATTAATGTTTTTATATGATATTCTTCATGGTTTTCTATCAAGTTTAGTGTATTCATTTAGTGGTAGGGACATTATTCGGTTTTGATTTTTTTTGGAGAATATTTTGTAAAAGATGCTCGTATTGTTCAATAATTTTGGTATTTAGTCGCTTAAGTGGTGAGTCCGATTTTATTTTACTTGATCTAGTTTTTTTGGATATGTTTTTTTATCAGAGATATATTTCTTTTATGATTTCTTAATGGAATTAATGTTAGTGGTGGCTAATTTTAGTTATTATTTTTTTATTTATTTATTTTTAGGGAGATTGCTTATTATGGGCTTATAATTTTTTTCCTTTATTTTTTTTTAATTTCCTTGAATATTATTTGGTATTCTCTTTTTTGTTTTTTGTTTACCGATTTTTAATTTAATTGAATTTATACCCCTATTTTTTTTACTATTATTTTTATCTTATTTTTATCTTTATTGTATAATATTTGTATTATTGGTTTTGACCTTCTTCATTATTGTTAGTGTAAGAAGTCTCTATTGTGGGAAGGTGGCGAGACCGTTGGTTGGGTAGATTATAAACCTATTTATTGCTTTTTATATTTGCATATTATTTAAATTTATATTATCATATTTATTTCTTTTTAGCCCATATTTCTTTATGGTTTATTTTTGGTATAAGAGTCCTTAATTTGTTTGGTTTTTCGTTTATCTCTAAATGGTTCTTTTGTTCCTTTGGAGTTTAAACTGCTTATATGGATAAAATTTCGCTTGTTGTTTATGTCTTCATTAATTTTTTATTATTTTATTTTTTATTATTAGTTTTATCTGTTGCACTTATCGTTTGAACATTTCATTATTTTTTTTGATTAATTCTTATTGTCCAGTGGGTTTTTAATATTTTTGTTAAAAGAAACTTTAATTGTTTTTTTTTTAATTTATTTCGGATTTTTTATTGTTTGGTTTAGGGTGTAATTATTGAGTTCTACACAAGGGACATAGATGTGAGTACCTTGGGTGTATGCCTTATTGTTAATTTTTTTTTTTCGCTTCTTTCTCATTTCTCACGCATCAAAACAAAGTATATGGTGCTGTTGTTTTGGCAACCTTGTTATTGTTTTTTGGTGTGATTGTTTCTTCTACTTGCTTGTTTCAGGTACTATTCATTGAGTATTTTTTAAGTAAATAATAATTTTAGTTCTGATTTCACTGCTTTGTTATATTGTTTTCCCTTAATGAGCCATTAAACAAAATTTGGTGGTTAATTATACTAGTCGGTTGTTAGAGCATTATAATATTATTTCTTATTTTATGGGAAGATATTTTCTAGGAGTTTCCTTTGGCCCTTTTTGTTATAAAACTCATCATATTATTTTTTTGCTAATTTATTGCTAATAATTTTTTTTTTTTTTTTATATCAATTGTTTCCATTTGTGATTCCTGGCTTTTATTACTATTTTCGATCTATTTTATAATATATTATTTTAATGTTATAAATGGTTTTGTATTATTAAACTATAATAAAAATATTTAATATATTATTAAAATAAAGTGGCTACTTAAGAGAGTTAAAGTAAAATAAATATCTAATATTTATTTTTTTGGTTTCATAAATTTAGAGAGATAACTACATAGTACATATTATATATTATTTTGTTTTATTATTTTTTTTTTTAAGAGTTGAAATTTACTATTTTGAAATTTATACATATCTAATGAGAGATTATAACTAATATATATCTTTTAATCATTTTAAGCTGAATTTAATTTCTTATTTATTTTGAAAATTCTAATATTTTATTAATTATTTCTATATTTATTTAAATTTTATATTATGTAATCTTATGTAATGTAAATAATTTAATTATTATATGATTTATTATTAGGTATTGTTTGTATAAATTGCTATTTTTGTATTCTATTAAATATTTAGAGCTTATCAATTATTAATTATTGGAATTTTTTTTAACAATATTTTAAATCATTCATTACTATTATTTTACAATATTTTATTTTTTCTTCGCTTTTTCATATAGTCATAGTTTTTATTTTATATATATAATATTTTTTTTTATTTTTAAATTTTTTTTTCATTTTTTTTTTCACATAAATAATCTTTTTATATCTCAAAGATAAGTGTAACAAAAAAAGTTTTTTTGGGTTCCTTAAAAAGCCTCTCAATCAAAACTTATTAAATAATATGGTTCATATTATGTATATCTATACAATTTTAAAGCTCTCATTTCTGACATTCAATGTTAAGTTTGCAATAACTTTGTATTTGGATTTTATCGGCATCATTGTTAGTATATATGAGACTTAAAATTACGGTTTTATTATGTTTTTTATCAATTGAACTTAATTTTCATAAACTATTTTCTTTAATATTAAACAGCCTTCCGAACGCTATAT